GTACCCTCTTCCTCCGTGTGAAGAAAAGGAAGAAATAAATCAATCAAATTACGAGAAGCCTCATAAAGCGCTTCCTTAGGGGTTAAACTTCCATTGGTCCATATTTCTAGAAAAAGTATCTCATATTTTGCATTTCCATTCCCACAAGCAAAAATACTATAATTCACATTTCGAACAGGCATGGATACAGCATCTATAGGATAACTTCCATCTTGAGTGTTCTTTCTGACTTCCGTGTGATATCCGCGATCTCTCTTGATCCATAACTCAATATGGAAATCCGTGGGTTCTGTCAAGTTAGCTATAGGTTGTGTCGTATCAACGATTTCTACGGAAGGCGGTAAGATAATATCTTGGGCAGTTATGTATCTAGGACCTTTGACGCAAATTGATGCGGTTCTAACTCCATAGAGATTACTTCTCAATACAATTTCTTTCAAATTTAGTAAAATTTCTTGTACCGATTCTTCAATACCTGCTATTGTAGAATATTCGTGCGGCACGCTCCCAAATTTTGCATGTGTGATACATGTTCCTTCTGTTTCTCCAAGTAAAGCTCTTCGCAAGGCAATACCAACGGTATCCACTTGACCTTTTCTAAGCGGGGACAGAATGAAACGACCATAATAAAGACGCTTATTATCTACTCTTGATTCAACACACTTCCACTGTAGTGTTTGAGTGGATCCTGCTACATCCTCTCGAACCATATAGACTAGTATTATTATTTGATCATTGAATCGTTTATTTCTCTTGAAAGGGGTTTAATTCTTTTACAGACATCTTTTTTTAGGAGGTCGACACCCATTATGCGGCATAGGTGTTACATCGCGTATACAACTTAATCGTACACTACTTTTAGCAATGGCTCGTAATGCGGCATCTCTTCCACTACCAGCACCCTTTACCATAACTTCTGCTCGTTGCAAACCCACTGTACGAATAGCATCTACAGTTGTTCTTTGACCAGCATAGGGTGATCCTTTTCTTGAGCTTTTGAATCCACAAGTACCCGCGGAGGACCAGAAAACCACCCGACCTTGCGGATCTGTAACAGTTATAATAGTATTGTTGAAACTAGCTTGAACATGAATAACTCCTTTTGTTATTCTACGTGCACTCTTCCGTAAACTAAAACGCGCATCCCTACGCAAACCAATACGTACTTTCCTACGTGAACCAATTTTTGGTATAGCTTTTGTCATATTTTATTATCTCATAAATATGAGTTAGAAATAACAAAAAGAAAAAAAGATACAAAGATATCCGTTTCAGGGTAAAATATATCCTTTACTTGAATTTTTTTATTTGGAATTTGGACATTTTCGCGGGTACTTTTTTTTTACTTTTTAGAAAGTCAAGTTCTTTTTTCGAAAGATTACCCCTGTCTTTGTTTATGCTTCGGATTGGAACAAATGACTCTAATTCGTCCACGCCTACGAATCAGTCGACATTTTGTACAAATTTTACGAACAGAAGCTCTTATTTTCATATTTCCGTATTCCTTTCTTAAACTATGAATTTACTCTTTTGGAAAAAATAAGTCTCTTTGTTTGAATTTTAGAACTTTGAATGTTTTACCCTAGAAAAAAAAAGAAAAACCTAACCCTTTGAATCTTTGGTATCCTTCAAATCTTCGGTATCCTTCGAGTCTTCGGTACGCTTCGAATCCTTATGGGGAAGTCTATAAATTATACGCCCCTTGCTTGAATCATAACGACTTACTTCAATTTTGACCCTATCCCCCATCAGTATTCGTATAGAACTAGACCGGATCTTTCATAAAATATAGCCCAGGATGATGGTGTCATTCTCTAGGCGAACACGGAACATTCCGTTGGGTAGGGCTTCCATAACTAAACCCTCGAAAGTAATTTTTGCTTCTCTCGGGTTTTTTTTTCTCTCCTATTTTTCTTTTCTGTCATATTTTTTTCTCCTATTTTTCTTTTTTTATTTTCAAATAAAAAACGTTGTATTTTTGTTTGAAAAATAGGAAGTTCAAGATAGAATTTGGGTACTATAACTATAGGTGGGGCGATTACCGCTATAGGCGGGGCGATTACCATATATAACATAAAACTTCTCCCCCAATTCTGTTTAGTCGAGCTTCTCGATCTGTCATTATACCTCGAGAAGTAGAAAGAATAGCAATTCCCATTCCGCCCAAAACCTTAGGAATTCCTTGATAGTTGGCATAAATTCGTAAGCTAGGTCGGCTGATACGCTTTAAAAAGGTTCTAGTTCTATATATTCCCTTTCTAGTCTTTCTCTTTTGATGTCGCAAAGTTGAAACCAAGAAATATCTATTACTTTCCTGATGTTTCCGAACACTTTCAATAAAACCCTCTCGTAGAAGTATTTTAACAATGTTTTTGGTAATATTTGTAGATACTACCCGAACAGTTCCTTTTTTATTCATGTCCGCGTTTCTTATAGAGGTTAGTAAATCAGCAATAGTGTCCTTGCCCATAAGACTCTAATTCTAGGTTCCTCCTAATTTTTCTATAATCAACATGTTCTCTTTTTTCTTTTCGTTTTGGATTCTAAAGCATATACGTGAAACACAATCTACTAATTTTTTATTTGATCTATATCTTGTCTACTAGTATTTATAATACTTCAGGAGCTAATGAAACTATTTTAGTAAAATTCAATTCTCTCAATTCCTCGGCGATCGTGCCAAAAACGTGAGTTCCTTTTGGATTTCCTTTTTGATCAATGATAACCGCTGCATTGTCGTCATAGCGTATTATTATACCGTCTTCGCATTTGAACTCTTTACATGTACGTACAATTACAGCTCGAATTACTTCGGATCTTTCTAGAGGCATTTGGGGCACTGCGTCTTTGATTACAGCAACAATAACATCACCAATACGAGCATATCGCTGATTACTAGCAGCTCCTATGACTCGAATACACATCAATTTTCGAGCTCCACTGTTATCTGCTACATTTAAAAGGGTCTGAGGTTGAATCATATTATTTTGATTTCAATTTGTTATTTCAATGCAAAAGGATGAAAGAAATATTGTCTTTCCAGAAAGAAGAACCTGGTTTTTTATTTTCAATACTACTTTTTTGGGGGGGTTATATTTCTAACCGAAGAAATTGACTTCGTATGGGCATTTTGCTGGCAGCTATGGAAATAGCTGCTCTAGCTACAGTTTCGGATACTCCGCCCATTTCATAAAGTATTCGACCTGGTTTAACAACGGCTACCCAATATTCGGGGGATCCCTTTCCCGAACCCATACGTGTTTCGGTCGGTCTTATTGTAACCGGTTTGTCGGGAAATATACGTACCCAGATTTTTCCACCACGACGTGCATATCGTGTCATTGCTCTTCGTCCTGCTTCTATCTGCCTCGCCGTAATCCAAGTGGGTTCAAGTGCTTGAAGAGCATATCTACCAAAACAAATACAATTGCCTCGGTAGGATTTTCCCTTCATTCTTCCTCTATGTTGTTTACGAAATCTGGTTCTTTTGGGGTTTTAGTCGATGGTTCTCTCTTAGTTCCATCTCTACTGCAAAACTGGACATGAGAGTTTCTTCTCATCCAGCTCCTCGCGAATCAAATGTGTGCAAATTTCTCTAATTCCACAATATTCTAAAATATTACGGATAGATACACATTAATAGGAAAGGTTAGGGTTTTTAATATTGAATTTATTAAAATACTAAAATATATAGTCAAGAAAGAGGATCTAGAATATATCTAGATGTGTATGTTTATTTATCTATATTCTATATTTAATGTAATTCTTTTTTTTATCTCCTTTTTTTTATTTTACTCTTATTGAATCGCGGTAAAGTATTCTAATTCAATAAAAATTTCGCGGGCGAATATTTACTCTTTCCTGTCTTATTTGTTAATTCATAACCTTATCGAATAAGACAATTTTTTTGGTTTGTTCCGCCATCCCACCCAATGAAGTATTGGGATTCTTTTCAAGAAAATCCTATCCAGTAATAGGTTCTGTCGTTCCCACTGCTTCTCCTTTAATGGTTAGGTTTGAATCTCGCAATGGAGCTTCCAAAAAATTTCTTTCCGAGTCAATTTCTCACTTTTATTAACTCGGGACGCTCTTTGTTATTCCTTGAAATTTGTATTTCTCGTTTCAATCAAATTACGATTTCGAATTCTCTGTTATTTTTATTATATTGATGCTTTATCACATTGCTTTTTATGATGTAATTCATAGACCATACATATTGGAATCCTATATCTTTCTTATTTCTCTTCCTTCTTTCTATCATCCTTCCTTTTATCTACATCCCCTTTAGTTTTGCTTCACAACTTAGAATCCTATTTTTTTAAAGAAAAAATTGCAGTTGCTACACGTATATGATAGATTTACTCATTTATGATAGATGTATTTATTCATATAGTGACTGTTTCTTAGTTAGGATCTCAACAATACGAAGCAATAGGTTGGTTATTAGTTCATTTTCTATAATTACATAGTAGGGTTCATTCTATTTTTTTTATCCCCTTTTTGAACCCTAAAAAAAACTAACGAGTCACACACTAAGCATAGCAATTTTATTAAAAGATTTCTCAATTTTCATTAAATCTTATAGAAAGAGGTAGAATTTCTTCTTTTTTTCAGGGATTTTAGGGAAAATAAGGCTCTTGTCATTTTTTATTCTATTACTGAACAGAATGGGAAGACAGGGTTGGTTATTCTTCGTCTACGAATATCCAAATTTTAACTCCTAATACTCCATAGATAGTTCGAAGTACTCCAACTCAACACTAACCCAAGTGGTCTGAAGTAACCGGTTGTTCCAACAAAGGGTGTCAAAGTTGTCCCCGCAAAAAAAAAGGGGGGGGGGTCAAAGTTGGAGGCAATGCTTTAAGATGTGTTGTTTGGTCACTTGGTGTGACATGAAAGAATCCTAGTAAGGATCTTAACTGACGGATCTTCAAACCCTGGCCTATTCTGTATGTTCTTATCATCTTATGTTACTTGGAGATGTGGGGAAGAGGAAGAAAGACAGAAGAGACGTGTTACAGCCAGGCATGTCACTGGGAATGAGGGTGGCTAGGTGGGGGTTATTCCTTTTGTTCTAAACAGTTTCATTTTGTTCATTTCACTTTTGTTATACACAAACATTTTTCATATGGACTAGAATTACCATGTAATATAGTGACCTTTTCGGTATTTACATTCTCCTATCATTTCATCCATGCATCTTCCTAATTTTTTTCACCTGCATAATGCAAAAGCTAAGTGAGCATAATGCAAAAAATTAAAACATGGATGACAAAAGGCATGACGGATCTATGGGAATAACTAAGTTGCACGATACATTTAGATACATAAATTGTTTCTACATTTTTTTTACATGTAGAATACAAAGCTTTTTTAGAGGAAATAACATGCAGCTTTAAAATACTACCAAACCACGCAAAATGCTTTATGAACAATTACTTTACCTTGCTATGATGCTCCGAAAGCTCCAATGCTAAGTGTCTATATGTTGCAGAAATGTGTTGTAGACAGTGAAGACTACTACTCCAGCGTGAAGTCGTTTAACCATATCAGCACCTCATTCCTCTTTTGATAAGGAAGAACATAAGAGAGTTTCCGAATTAAAAAAGATAACAATGAATGTAAAACTGAAAAAAAGGAACTGGAAATGTAAAACTGAAAAAAGAATGAACTGGAATTTTGGGAAAGGAAGCATGATGATAAAATATCAACTTTCCAACACTTAATCATAAAATAAACCTCATTAGTTAGTCTTAGGATCATTATAGTGAAGTACATCAAAAAAATCACATGTCAGCTTAAACAATAAGGGACAGCCCAAAAGGAAACATACCATTATAAAGCTCTGTGTTCTAGGATCATTGTAGCGTGCAAGCAAACAACCATGTTGAGGCTTCAACACATCTTTGAGTAATTGGGAGCGCAGCTCCTTTTCTTTCTGGATCACAATTTCCTCTTTTGGTCTCCCACTGAATTTTTTCACTGCAGCAATGCCACCTTCTACCTTTCGCAAGTTGACAGCTTCCGTGTTTGGAGCTGGTAAGCTGATTGAACAAGATTACTACTATTAGTAATAGAAATAAATCCATAAGACTACTTTTAGTTTAATTTTGCACAGCTGTCCAAAATCAATGCTTTAAACCGCACTGTCAGTAACTGAAATCCTGCATTGCACAAGATAGACCTGTCCAAGTCTTTGTTCATCGGCAAAACTATCTGGATGGATACATCTGAGAGTTTGTCATCAGAAGCCTGAGTGAAGACAGGTGTAGTCATTGCAATCGTTTCTGAAGAAGCATTCTTGCCAAAAATATACCTACATTTACAAGCGCTTATAAGTAATCAGTACTAGGATTACAGGGTTAAATATCTACTGTAACAGAAAAATAACTCACCCAGTTACATTATTAAAACCTGATGATCCGGTTAGTTTATCTCCTTTTGCTTCAACTATTAAGAATGGTGGATAACTCCTAATCTGCAAAAAAGAATTTATGTTCATGATTTCATCTTAAACATTCTGCAGAGAAGTAACAGCTATAAATTAGATGTTCTGAGTTCTGACTACTATAGAGATCACATTAGCAAAGATTATACACTGGCAAAAATCAAGTAAAATAATTCGGATACTTATCAGTATGGTTAATTCATATGAAGCATGGATCATGAGAATATGGCAGTGCTGTTACTTCAGAACAGATATAAAATGAATTCCTAAAGTTAATACCTCATAGTTTGCCGTCCTTTTCAGGATAAGGTACTTTGGTGTTTCTATATCAGGGGTCTTGTAAATCCGTAGCTGTGCAGAATCAAAAGATCTAGCTCAAACATTTGTTTGACAAATTATAAGAAAAATGTAGAGTCATGACAAATGACCTGCTTGAAGACATCCCCCAGTCCTTCAAAAGAAAAATATTCATTATTCTGTATTGAGTCCCAAATATCCTGCACTTCAGCATATTGGGAAGTTATAATAATATTTAATGATTACTTGGGTAAACTTATTTAGTGTGTTGGAGTTCTCTGTATGTACAAAATCTCTCCAACACTCTGCTGGGAAGCATAGTATCCTTAATCTTCTATTTACAAAAATGCACACTAAACGGGGGGAAAAAAACAAATAAGTAAGAACCAGGAACTCTACGGCACATCACAGCAAGTGCAATTATTAAGAGTATTGTAAACTTTATCAAGTGTGGACTATGGAAGCTAAGTATTGTTTTGCCGGCCCATCAATAAATAGTCCCACAAGCTTCCTGAAAAGCTAAAATTTAGTATCAAATTGAATTAGGACTATGAAGCATTGCATTATAGGAGGAACTGTATCCGGTGGAGAATTGCAACAATAAAAAGTTATTTGACATAGCTAAACATAAGTATGCAACTAAAGCTTGTCTGAAAGCTTTGTCAGGAACTCCCTGATCTCATCTCTCGAAATCTTACTCCAGACTGACTGCTTACTAATGCTCTTGATAAAAGAAACCGTACTCTTTTAAGACTTTAACTTCTAAGCTGCATATGCTTAATATATATGCTTCATCTCAGAGGTCTCGAATGTCGCAAGCAGGAGACCTATGGTTCTAACATATAGTAGACTCTGTAAGACGTGATCCATACATATGATTCAGGGGATTAAAATACCACTAATTCATTTCATGAACAATAAAAGAAAATCTTAACGTACATTAATTCGAAGAAACAAATGTTCCAAAAGCTGCAGTGTCAAGCAAGAATGCTAACCACGTGGCTACAGAACTTGAGATTCTGAGGGTTGACGCCCATGATCGAGAGGCCAGTGAAGACCAGCTCCGGCTTCCACGGCAGTAGAACGAACTTCATCACCATGGTCCACCTCGTGGTGATCTCGTACGGCCCTGTCTAAAAACCCCACCACCCATCCAGTCACGAGTTCTTCGCAAAATGCGCTGCAAATCTGTTACGATTGAAATTGGGAAATGCAGTGCGGGGTAGCAGCTCAACCTGCTCGACGTGGTGGAGGTAGAAGTCGGGACGGAAGAGGAGCTTGAGGAGGCGGATGTTGAGGAGGTAGCCGTCGATGGTGTCGTGGCGGGTGATGGGGTCGCGGAAGCGGACGCGGTCGTCGTACGCCGAGCGGTCGACGCCGACGTCGTCGAACAGGTGGGGGAGGTCCTCCCGCAGGAACTCCGCCAGCCTCTCCGCCTCCGCCGCCGGCAGCCCGCCCTTCTCCTCCTCCGCCGCCGCGGGGGCTACCGCCTGTACCGCGAGGCGGGGCCTCCGCCCCCTGGAGGATAGGGAGTGCGCTGCGGCGGGTTTCCGCTGCCGGAGAGAGGCGGCGGCGGCCGGCGCCGGTGGTGGGAGGATGAGGAGGCGGGAGAGGAGGGATGTGGCCGCCATTGATGCCGTTTGTTCTCTCTCTCTCTCCCTTTCCTCCTGCGTCTCCTTTTTCCCGTTGGATTTTTGCGATTTTTTATTGGTTTTTGAATTTTCGTGAATTCTGCGGCGTGTTAAAATTTGAGCCAGGAGATTTTCTTTTTGTCGTGTTTAAACATGATAGGGGCTTTGTAAATTTTGTTTTGTAGCCATAGAATCGGAAGGTAGCAGATACTACCAGAAAGCTTATTACGAACAAACAAGACGAAAGGTCTAATGTGTTGGTTTATGTCAAGATTTTGCATGAAGGAATTCATCCGAATTTCGAATTCTCATTAAAGAACGCAATAAACTTTGTATATTTAACAACAAAGGCTTACTCCAAATGGATCAATTTTCAAAATAAACAAGAAACGATGTCTGTAACTCTTTTTATGAAGAAAAAACCCTACAAGCATGGCGAGTCCAACATAACTTTTTGTGAGTTGTGATATCATGACATGAATAGCAGCAAGAGGAACACAGGCAAACGAGTCAACATTTACAGTCCTGACTCCCACAAGTCAGATTAGCATTCTACAGACAGGCTAACAGCATACATCAGGATTAGATTTACAGTGGTTAAATATGTTAATTGGTCATTGTCAGTACAGGGTAGGCTTGCCCATGGTGGCACAGCAAAATTACATCTCATTTCCATCCTTTAATAAAAGATACCTGGAACAATCTCTCAAATGCTTTTACTCATGGTGGCACAGCAAAATTACGCCTCATTTCCATCCTTTAGTAAAAGATATCTGGAACAATCTCTCAAATGCTTCACAAGATAACCACTGCTATCTACTGTCAACCTGCTGCAGGTCATCGTCAGTCAGTTTTTCTCCAAGACACTTGATTTCCATGAAGGCTTTGCGGAGTATTTCCTTTGCAACTCTGAAGTTATCTGCTGATACAGCTCCCTTCTCTGCACATTTGATAGCATCATGAATGAGATCATTATACCTTGAAGTTGAAGAATCCATGTAGCAATTTCCATTCTCAAGATTATGCCCAATTAATTCTGGCCCAGTCTTTGCCCTCTTTGTCCATCGCTTCGCGATGCATGTCTCCGGAAGCACCATGATTCCAGCTAAGATGAAAACTCCAAGCACATGCCTGCACAATATTGCTGAGAAAGCGTACCTGCAGCAATCGCACCAAGCCTTCTTCTCGGCAACATTGTAGAAAACAGTGTGCCTTGTTGGAGGATCATCTCTGTCAACATAGTACTTGGAGTAAGGTCCATCCTGATGAACCTTAACAGCATAATGCTGCAATGCTTCAAACAACTCCGTTTGGAATATTTCAAACACGGCATTGGTGTAGATGCTCCTTGCTTGTTTTTCCAAGGCTATATTGGTTTTCAGGATCTGTTCCGGATGAGATGAACCAAGATCTTTCTGAGTTTCATGTACATACAAATTGTCTATGTGTTGGTCAAATTTAGTGGTAAATTCATCGAGAGGAACTCTTGTGCTGAAGTTATTCCTAAAAAACCTACCGATTGTTTCTCCTCTCTGGGTCAATGTCAATTCTGCAAAGAAGGAGCTTGTTGTCAGGTATGCAGGAACCCATCTGTGTCTTGCTTCAAATATTGATCGCAACCAACTGTTCTCCCTCAGGCCATATTTGTCAAGAATAGTACCCCAGAACATATCAAAAGCAACCTCAGTATAACACTCGTTGATGCATCTTCTGAGCTCATCATGGAGATTGGGAAATCTCACGTAGTCGTCAGACAACTTCTTCTTGCATCTAGACAAAATTCGCCATCTACAAAGACGATGGAAACACTGAGGAAATACTTTTGCAACTGCTGATGCAATTGCTTTGCCTTCATCAGTTGTAAAGGAAAACGGCAACCGTCTACCCACTGCTGTCAGCCATGTCTCAAATAGCCAGGTATATGAAGATTCTGTCCTATCCAAAACAAGTGCACAACCAAAAGGAACAGTATCACCATGGTGATTCACACCCGTGAAAGCTGCAAAGGGTAACATATTCTCATTTTTACTATAAGTAGTGTCAAAATAAACAGCATCCCCAAAGTATGTGTATGACATTCTGGCTCTAGCATCAGCCCAAACTGCATTGCTAACACAGTTCTTACTGTCAACTTGTATGGAGTAGAAAAAACCAGAGTTCTCCGACTGCATTCTCTTCAAGTAGTTGAAAAGGCCTTGCGCATCTGTATCTCCAAACACATTCCGGCGCAGCTCCTGCAATTGATTATCATGCTCTGCGCACTTTCCAGAGAGGCGACGGAGCTGGACCTCCCGCACCCTGTCTGGGCTAAGAATCACATGAGTATGCTCCAGGACCAACTTTGTGATGACCCATTTTTCCGGACCCCTCCTCACCACTTCCATCATCGCTGGACAGCCATCCCTTATCGAGAGCCGCTTCCTCTTTTTCTTGTCGCTAGGCTCGGCATCCTTCTTCTTGTGATGTCCCTCTTTCAGGCACACAAAACGCTTCATGATAAGTAGCTCAACACCCTTCCTCCGCTCGCTGCGCGACCGGGCGACGCGGATGCCGAACCCAAGGCGCAGCGCATACGCATTGTAGAATGCCCGTGCAGCTCCATCGGACTCAAACTCCATGCCTAGGCATGGGTCATCGTTTGTGCCCAACCCATCAGCAGCCATCAGCCGACCGTTGCCAACAGACGACGGACGGGGAAGGATGCTACGCATCTCAGAAGGCATCAGACCTGTTCCTTGATCAGTATTGCTGGTGCCTGTATCATCCTCAACATCCATGTAACCTTCAACCAGCTCATCATCCTCACTTGATGTATACTCCATTGAAAAGCTCTACAAACTCAAATGAAAAGGAGAATTTCTCTTGCGACGAAGCAGGGGGCGGATCCAACTTGGGAACCCCCAAATTTTGGGGGAAACAAACAATAAACTGTTACTTGTATTAAGGTTAAGGCTCTGAAATAGCTTCTTCCAGATCTAGAAGAGAAGCTAGGGTTAACGAACGAACGTGAGCAAATTGCAGACAGAAATTGTCCCGGTGGGGTGGGAGAGAGAGAGATGAATCAGAAAGAGGCTCACCAGGACGACGCGAGCTCGGGGACGGCGGCCGAGCTGGTGGACGACGCTAATGGAGACGGCGGCGGACGAGCTCGGGTACGGTGGTAGAGGTGGCGGCGGCGGCGGCGGTCGCGGACGAGCGTAAAACGGATGGGCAGACGGATGGATGGAGTGAAACGAAGGAATTCGCTCTCCCGTGGCAGGTTCCAAAGTTACACACGAATTGGATCATAGGGCCGCGAATTGAGTGGCATATACTGATATTCCACGTATATCTCAATATTTTTAGGCTGTGTTTAGATCCAGATGTAAAGTTTTGGCGTATTACATCGGATATACGGACACACATTTAAAGTATTAAACACAGTCTAATAATAAAACAAATTATAGAATCCACCTGTAAACCGCGAGACGAATTTATTAAGCCTAATTAATCTGTCATTAGCAAATGTTTACTGTAGCACCATATTGTCAAATCATGACACAATTAGGCTTAGAAGATTCGTCTCGCAATTTACATGTAATCTGTATAATTAGTTTTTTCTATATTTAATGCTCCATACATATGTCCAAACATTCGATATGATAGGGCGTAAAATTTTGCCAGGTATCTAAACAGGGCCTTACTATGCTATTTTTTATGATGACTGGTGGCCCATATATCAGAAAAACATTAACAAACTCAGTTAGAGATTGTGTCGACAACAAACTTCTCAGACCACCCGCGACCACTAACTACAGCTCCACGCACCACCACCAGCGCTCTTTCTCTATGAGCCACCACCGTTTCTCCTCTCCGCCTTTGCATGCGTAGCTGCACCCTATAGTTATAGCCATGTCTTTTCTCCTCCCCTATCGCCATGCACACTATTGTCATCGTCGTCGTTGAGGTTGGGATTGTTGGGCTTGCAAAGACTTAGGGAGGCATGAACCAACCTTACAAAAAACGGAGATGCTAGATCTGGGTTGTTTATTGCTGGATCTAGCGATCACTAACTGTTAGAGGGAAAAAGAAAATGGAGGGAGAGAGAGTTAGTGTGCGGAGTAATTCCGTAATTCTTTTGTTGTTTTTTTATTTTCTATATGTTTATGTTAATTTGGACTAATATTTTTCTCTCATAATTAAATAGATAATAAATCACTTTTCCATATTTCTCATATAAAATGTGAATAGTGCACTATATAATTTGAAAATTATATTATAAGTATATATAATTTAATGTGTAAGAAATGGAATTATAGTATAAGATTTAACTTTTTCTAAACATGTCGCACCATAGTAGATAGGTAGTTAAGGGAACAAATAGAAAGAATCCATTATGTGTCACTGATTTTATCCATGTTCTACAATATGTCACTGGGTTTGTCAAATTCTCATATGTCATCACAATTTTCTTAACTTCTATAATATACCATCATTGTCTAGTTAGCCTCCGTTAGATTTTTATCATAATGACAGAAATACCCCTGAACGAAAACTTCCAAAATTTTGGTCAAAACTTCCAAATATCATATTGGAATTTTCGGCCAAATTTTGGAAATTTTCGTCCCAAAGATTTTTCAATCATTAGGGAAAAATTATACATAACTAACCTCAGGAAGCAAGCAGAGAAGTCCACATATCAATGCGCAGTAATCTAAACCCGCGGAGCTGAGGGAGGACTCTGCTGGCCGCCGCCAGATGGCGCAAACAGTTTAATCGGAGGCGGCGGAGCTCGGGACGTAGCAGGGGGAGCTACGGCGAACAGCTGAACTCGCGGAGGTAGGGAAAAAGAGAACTAACGGACACGGCCGAGATGGAGGCGTGGAGCCTCACCGCAGGCGGCGCCGACGAGGGCAAGGAGGCAGAGGAAGCTGTGGAGGGGGAGAGGGGAGGTTTCGGCTAGGTCGATGGGACAAGAATTTGGGAATGTAGCCAGATAAGGAAGGGAAAGGGAGGAGAGATCCAACGGTTGCTGGAGTGCCATGTAAGTGGAGGCCCATGTAAGATCTGTAATGACAAAAGACCATGTAAGATCTGGTCGTGTAAGAGTTCTCGCCGTGCGTATTAACTAAGCCGTGTAATCGGAAATTGACTTTTCCAACTTTACGGCTGGGGGCTAGGATCAGTGCTTATTCAACCAAGGCAGGTCAAGGGTCCAAGAGCCTTATCCTCCGAGAATGATTCTCCGATGACAAGGCTGGGGGCTAGGGAGAGTGTATGACTCTACAAACTGACTGATCGGAGTCGGTAAGAGAGAAGACACTCATATACAAAACACTGGTCTGTACATTCAATTCATTAGTCTGTCATATTATAATATGTCACCCTTTGAGCATTCGCTTGGGGGCTATTTCTATCTAATATTCTTTTCTGAGTATTGATTTCAGGAAAATTATATTCGACATTGACGAAGGCTCCATGTCTCTATGGTTCTACACCAAGATCGACTAAGGCGAGTACGACCAATGTTGACAAGGCTCTGTCGCAGACTCTACGCCTTCTCGATCGCTCGAGAACGATTGCTGGATCTCGACAAGGAATGCGGAATGAAGAAATGATGTACCCGCCGAGATAAAATTTCTTGACTTTAATCCAAATTCTCGATTACAGCAAGACGGGAAACTTAGTCGTACGCTCTGTACTTTCTCGGTCAACATCAAAGATTGACTTAGACAAACCCTTTCGGTGCCCGCACGAAGCTGACAAAGGAAGTCTAACGTTATATCTGAACTCACCGAAAACGTTCACATGAGCTCGATAATAGTTACTCCAAAGTCTGCGCGCAATTGAGAATATGAATTCGTTCATTTGCATTGAAGTCGGGGGCTACTGTCAGGGTTATGGATACCACATACCTAATAGTAGTTGACTAAATCTCGGCAGGACCCACCACATACCATGTCCTATACGGAAACAGCCTACGGATATAGGAGGGAGTTCCGGATAAGGAAAGACAACCAGAGTTCTATATGGAAACGACAAGGACTACTCGGATTGTATTCATATTGGTTTCCCTAGTTCTACTTGGACAAGGGGACACCTATGGATATAAATATAAGCCCCCTAGGAGGACAGGGGGACACACACCCACCATGGAGGATCAACACGATCAACACGATCGACCCCCACCATGAGACGATCAACACCCACCACGAGACAATCAACTCCCAACACAATCAACATAGAAGCCTACATACGCCAAGACAAGCCGCCGGATATCGACATCAGAGATACGCCTGGATCGACCCTATCCGGTACCTTCAGAGGCCGGCCGTAGGGATCTAGCACTGTCTCTGATTCCGTCGGGCGCGAGCTCGAGGAGGAAGGCTACCCTGTTGTCGACTACGAGTCAGACCTTCAGACCGCCATGTCGACAACAGTTAGATAGGCCACCCCACATATTGTACTGGTGTGATTATGGTGAATAAAAAGCAACATTGGCTCCGGCCAACAGGATGTAGGGCTATTACCTGATAGCTCAGGGGCCCGAACCTGTATAAAAATCATCGTCTCCATCTCTTTTACCTCAGTCTCGCGTATACCCTAGCACCGACGATCCCCATACTGTCCAAATACCGTAGTCGAGACATCAAACGTTGACAGTTGCACGATGCTCTACCAAGTATATCGGAATTGTTTCACTAAGTAGATCGAAAATATTTCATTCGTTTAAATCGGGCGTTGTTTCACCTTATATAAAAACAATGTTTCAGCAAATAGCGAAAGAATGTTTCAGTTCACTATAACATTAGATCTATACATATGCCACTGCAAATAAAAAATGAAACGAATTCCCTTAATAAAGGGTTTCCAAAATATGTGGGTAATTTGTTGTAAAAGAATATTTTAATATCAGATCTATATATAGTAAAACATTGTGAGTACACTGGGTGAAACATTTTCTTGAGACATGTGGTGGGGCCAGGGGAACGTGCGCATGATCCTGCTCCACCTCCCGCCGGTTGCCCGGGCCTGAGCATTTTCGGAAATGAACGGTTCCTATGAGAAGAAAAATAAAATTAAATTAACGGTTTTTGGTGAAATTTACAACAAACTTCTTATTGAAAATAGTACAGATTTCATTTATTCCAAACAGGGCAGGAGCTAAAAATTTGAAATTTCGGTAAAGAAAACCTATGATAGAGATAGCCATTTCTTTCTTTATATAAAAATTCACAAAAATACATTTATTAGATCACTCAATGGTTGGCGCGCCACTGAAATACGGCATGCTGCTCTGCCGCAGCTGCGAAATCTCCTCCTCCGTCGCCGTCCTCGCGTCGAACCCCTCCCCGTCCCCGGCGCTGCCCATGCCCAGGCCCTGCTTGAGCCGTCCGAGCCTGCGCGCGTGCAGCACCTGCGCCGCCACGACCGGCCGCCGCGCTGCCTCGTACTCGGCCAGCGCCCGCCGCGGCGTCGACGTCGGCTCGGCGTTGCCATCGCCGCCCCACCTCGCGAGGCAGCAGCCGAGCACGCGGGCGTCGAGGATGGACATGTTGGTGCTCCTCAGCCCGTGCGGGGTGGTCGGGTGCGCCGCGTCGCCGACCAGCGCCACCCGCCCTCCCGCCCACGACAGCCCGGGCAGCGGCTCGGCGTCGTAGATCACGTTCACGAACGGCTCCGCCGTCTCGCCGATCAGCCGCGCCAGCTCGGGGCACCACACGCGCTCGGCTTCCTCCTTCATCTCGCTCACCGTGGCCTCGTTCACCTTCATCGTCACCGAGCTCCCCTGCAACACCAAACGGAACCAAATCACATCGGAAAAGGAGGGATAAACACACTGATTTATTTCTCATCGATTGACAATTACCATGAGCTCTGGTTCATCGCCATTGATGTACCAGAGCCAGTTGAGCCGGTTCTTGGGCAGCTCGTAGAGCACAGCGTGCGTCTTGTATGCCAGGTCGAAGTAGAGGCAGTTGCCGAGCTCTGGGTAGGCCCTCCGGATGTCGACCATGGTGGTGCACCCCTCCTTCCCGGAGAAATCGAAGACGCCACGCCATGCACAGTATCCAGAGTACCTACATTATTGAAAAATAATCAGAAAATCGAAAACAATCTTAGCTAAGTTTGCCCATTTTGACATGATATTATATTGAAATACTGAAAAACTCAGCTAATATTTTCCTTTCATTAATGGAAGAAAAACACACGCACACACCATCACGACTCATGCACCACACTATCGTCCACGAATGCGCCCGAAAACACACGTTGAAAGAGATGAAAGGCAATCGTAAATCCTTAATATCACTAAGGCTGTTCCTTAGGATGAAAGAGAGAAGAAATCCCTCGTTACGTTTTCCGAACCACTAAATCATACGTTTTTTTAAAAAAGATAATTTTAAAAAGTTATTTTTTAAAAAAAAATATATTAACCTATTTTTTAAGTTTTAAAAAATTAATACTTAATTAATCATATGATAATGGCTCATCCCATTTTATATACTTTTTTAAAAAAATCTCTTCTCTCAAACACACCCAAAATCTTAGGAATGGCAGTATTGCTCATAGGTTTGGGTATCCGCGGATAACTTTTTTTTTTTTTGCCTGTGGGCACGCCCGATCCGATACCCGCGAACTTAGTAGGCGCGCGCGGGTTTTTCCTGTGGGTAAACCATGCCCGACCTGAAAATTTTTTAGCCCATATATATTTTTCAGGCCTTAAATAGTTTTATCTCCTCACATGGCCTAATAGTCCATTTGACCCCTTTGTATGCAATATATATATTCACTAAATGAAACCCTAGCATAGAAATCCCCAAATCACAAACCTTATACTCCTCACTGCTATCTCTCACTCCCTCAGTCTTCTACTCTTCTCCAGTGTCTACACTAGGCGGCGGCGGTGGTGCACGGGAAGGGAGCTTGGCCACATGACGTGGAGGTGCAAGGGCGCAAGCGACGGCTGGCGGTGCGGTGATGGCTAGCGACGTGGCAGCACACGGGACTAGGAGGTGGCTGGCAACGCGAACCCATCGGGCATGCCGACATGGGGTTTTGTCCAATAGACTTTGCGGCGTGAGTCGAGCGTGGGCACGTGGGTCTCAGGCCGGGCTTGGATTCACTCTGCTAAGTATGTTTCATATTTTTATATTCCCAATTAGAGTTGTAAGAAAATTATATGGCACGATAATTAGTAGTAGTACCCAACTCGAGGAGGTGGAGAAGGTGCGAGTGTTATTCAAAATCGGAGGGAGCAGCTAAATTGAAAAAAAAAATCATGCGACTAAACAATAATACTACTACCAGTAAACAATTCAGTAGTCTAGAACCTCTGGCTGACCTCAGCTTGAGTTCGGGGAGGAATCGCCGGCGGATCGCCGACGTGCAGCCATCCGCCGCGACGAGCAAATCCCCGGCGACCTCCACCGTCTCCCCGGTGCGCAGCACGCGGGCCGTCACCACGACCCCGCCATCTCCGTCCCCTTCCGGCGCCATCTCGAACGACACGAACTGGTGGCCCCAGAGCACGGTCACGCCGGCCGGCAGCGCCTCGTGCAGCCGCCGGTGCAGGTCGCCCCAGTGCGCCGCCCTGAAGCCGAACCCCTCGTCCCTCGTCAGCGTCCTCCCCGCCTTCGTCTCGCCGTCCGTCGCCCTGTTCTGCGCGCGCGCCGCGCTCACGGGTGGGTCAAGGCAAGGGGAAGGGAGGAGGAGGAGGCCGGCGGATTTACAGGGGGGAGCTTAGCTTACCAGGTCGACGGCGAGCGGCAGCGTGGCGGCGTCGAGGCGCCCGGGGATCCAGCGGGCGAGCGTCTCCATGGACTGCGCGTCGAGCCCCAGCCCGGCGCCCGTGCCGCTCCCGGCCCCCGGCGCCGCCGCCTTCTCCACCACCACCGCCTCCCACCCCGCCTCCGCCACCGCGTGCGCGCATGCCAGCCCCGCCACGCTCCCTCCCACCACCACCGCCACTCGCTTCCCCACCATCTCGAGACTCGAGAGAGAGGCACACACACAAACACCTACCCTTCTCTCCCGTGAGGCTGTGACTTTCCGCTCTCTATATAGGAAAAGATTCCCCCCCCACGTCTTGGCCGCGTCGCGTCGCCGCCACCCACCCCGCGCGATGGCAATGGCGGCGGCGAGGAGGGGCCACGGGATGCCGCTCTGGGAGTGCAACGTGCTGATCAGGACGCTGGCGAGGCGGGGGAGCTTCGCGCGCGTCATGGCGGTGTACTACGACCTCCGCGCGCGGGGACTCGTGGCGGACAGCTTCACCTACCCGTTCGTGCTCAGGGCCGTCGGGGTCCTCAAGCTGTCGGTCGAGGGGCGCAAGGCGCACGCGGCCGCTGTCAAGACCGGGTTCCGGTGGGACGCCTACACCGGGAGCTCGCTGATGGAGATGTACACGATGCTGGGGCGCGTGGACATCGCGCGGAAGGTGTTCGACGAAATGCCGAGTAGGGCGCTGGTGCTGTGGAACATGATGGTCAGGTGCTACATCAGGTGCGGGTGGTACTCGGCGGCAGTTGCTTTGTCTGAACAGATGGAGAGAAGCGGTGTCACACCTGACAGGGTGACGTTGGTGACGGCGGTGACGGCGTGCTCTAGAGCAAGGGACCTGAGCTTGGGAAGGAGGATTCATGTGTACATGGATAACGTCTTCGGTTTCAATCTGCCAGTTGCAAATGCTCTGCTGGACATGTACACGAAGAATGATTGCTTGGAAGAGGCGGTGAAATTGTTCGAGCAAATGCCTGCGAGGAACATAATTTCTTGGACCATACTTGTGTCGGGATATGGCCTTGCTGGGCAGCTGGACAAGGCCAGAGTGCTCTTCAACCAGTGCAAAGAGAAGGATCTAATTCTGTGGACTGCAATGATCAATGCGTGTGTGCAACACGGATGCTTCGAGGAGGCGCTGACATTGTTCCGAGATATGCAGATGCAACGGGTTGAGCCAGACAGGTTCACTGTTGTCACTCTCCTGACATGCTGTGCCAATCTTGGCGCTCTTGATCAAGGTGAATGGATTCACCAGTATGCTGAACAAAGGAAAATGAAGATCGATGCAGTCCTAGGCACCGCATTGATTGACATGTATTCTAAATGTGGGCACATTGAGAAGTCTCTAGAGGTCTTCTGGCGAATGCAAGGCAGAGATGCCACAGCTTGGACTGCCATCATCTGTGGGCTGGCCACAAATGGTCAGGCTGGTAGAGCTCTTGAACTGTTTCAAGATATGCAGAGAAGTAAAGTTAAGCCCGACGGTGTTACGTTTATTGGGGTGCTAAGTGCATGCTGCCATGGTGGCTTGGTTGATGAAGGCCGGAAGCAGTTCCATGCAATGAGGGAGGTTTATCAGATAGAACCAAGAGTTGAACACTATAGCTGCCTTGTGAACCTCCTAGGTCGTGCTGGTCTACTAGATGAAGCTGAGAGGTTGATCGGTGACGTTCCAATTAACAAGGATGCTATGCCACTGTTTGGTGCACTCCTCACTGCTTGCAAGGCTCATGGGAATGTTGAGATGAGTGAACGGTTAACCAAACGAATCTGTGAGCAAGATTCCCAAATTACTGATGTGAATTTGCTCATGTCTAATGTATATGCAACAGCAAGTAGATGGGAGGATGTGATAAGGGTACGGGGCAAGATGGCACACCCTACTGTCAAGAAGAATGCAGGGTGTAGCTTGATTGAGGTGAAGGGGTACTGAGGAGTTGTTGAAGCATATAATGCTTGGACAAAGGAATTGTTGAAGCATCCATTAGTTTGACTGGACCAACAGAAGCATGATCAATCACTGGAAGCCGTTTCATTAGCAATTTTGAAGAACCTTGTCTGAACAGACATTCGAGTGATCAGGCTTGTACAGTTAGTTAATTTGAGGACTACTGAACTTCAGCTAGCTTGTTTCAGGCTTGTAGCAGAGCTGGATTTTTTTTACTCTTGCCAGGAAATGGAACACGGTTCTGCAGATGAAAAAACAAGGTTAGACACCAATGCCAGTAGTATTTTTTTTTCTGTTGTTGCCTATGCCTATCAGTGCAGATGATTATATCTAATGTGCAACCATAACTTCTTAACAATGGATGGACGAACATTATCATCGCAGCATGATTCTGTCATTTGTCAGCTTGTTAAAAATGCTATACTTGGATTTTCAGTTTGCTCTTGTTGATGTATTCAGCATATCCACTCAAAACTCACTAACACATAAAACATCACTTTGAAGTGAATGCAATATTTATTTATGGAAGAAGGTTCATCTGCAAGTCACAGTAAAAATACAATGTGGCCCGGAATCTGAACTAACAATGATTTTAAGTCGGGTTCTGTGGACCTGCTTCAGGCCGTCTTAACTAGATTCGTATATTCAGCATTATATCCTTAGTTACTGTCCTTAATGGCAGCAACGAATGATGCTCATCCTGCAGGTTATTTTTATTTTTATTTTGAGAATTATTAGCCTATTCTCAGAAATTTTCGAATATGTTCTATAAGTGAAAATTGTTGGTGTTATCCTGATAATGGATTCGTGTATTGAGTCTCTTACCAGATCTTAACCATGAAGAGAAAATCATCCTAGAACTGGAAAAACAAGCACTGAGTGCACTTCCTTTTTTTCAGACTGATACAACAACTATTATACATGCGTTACTTAGTACTTTACAGAGTGGTCAAAAGAGGTCGCTCAGGATCCAAATGCTTGCTCTGCTCCCTTTCCTGAAGGAAGCTAATTCTAAATCCCTACCACTAAAATTCTACAATGTTAGGTACATCATATGTGAGTAGTTAAAGGTAGTCTCCCAGTCATCAACAGTAGAACATCACCCTCTTCACCTTCTCCTTCACCGCAGGCAATGGCTTCACCGAGGTTCCGTTCGTCCCAGTGGAGCTCTTCGACGTCGTCTGGTTCTCCGACATCTCTGGCTCCATGTAGAACCGCGCTCGAAACGCAGCCAGATGCGCATAGTATGCAGGTGGAACTGTTGGACCAGGAAAAAAGAAATGCAAGATTCACCTTCAGAATTCGTGTCCAACTAATAATAACACATGAATACAAAGAAAATGATGGAAAAATGTTCAGATCATTTCAGAAGAACGTACCAACAGAAACAGAGCGTGTGCACCGTGCATAACTGCATCAGCAAATGTACCAAGTCAGACAATTTCTATAGAGAGAAGCTCAGAGTGCAAAGGATAAACTTAACAAGATTCAGTAATGCCGTACGTGTAGCAAAGGTTGTTTGTCAATGTCTGCATTTCGTCTGCAGTGAAATTGTTCTCATCCCAAAGGACGTGGTAGTGAGCTGGCCTACTTGTTCCCTGGAAAACTCACACACATCAGTCATTTCAGTACATGGAGGACAAACTTGGGGAATTATATTCCAGCGCTACTACAGACAGAATATTTGCTGATCCAAGTACTATAATGTACAATCACATGATTAAAAATTTGACCATGGTATAGTAAGTTTGTTTGTTCTAGCATGTGCAGATGTGCCCTTTGCTAGGTACTACAGTAACTAGCTACTGTGATACTACTACCTCTGTCTCAAAATGTAGCTATTTCTAGCACAGTAATTTGTCTCAAAATGAAGCTATTTTTCTACCTACCTTCTCCTCTCAACCAATCACAATCATTCTTTTTCACCTACTTTCTCTTTTCAATCAATCACACACCTTCTTCAATCATTCTCACCTACTTTCTTAATACCCGTACCAACCTCAAAAATGCTTACATTTTGGGACGGAGGAAGTACTACACTGCTTGTGGTTGAAAAGACAATATGAAGTCTCCTCAAATACTTAATCACAGAAGACATGGGGACCAGAGTAACGACAAGTTCAGTATATGTCAGCCTTACAAAAGGACCACTACAATATTCTTACCTGAATTCCAGCATGGCTACAGAGGTAGAAATCAAACTCTGATGGGTGGCAGATCTTTGAATCAACAACAGTTCCTGTTTTTTAGCAAACACATGAGCAATTACAGAAATCAAGTGAATAACAGTAAATATAAAAGTTAGTTCACCCAAAGTGATACCTTAATAATCCAAGAAAAACAGTTGTGAATGTGATATCATGAATAGGAAAACAAGTATCAAATCACTGAAACAGTTCTACCAACAAACTGAGGGTTTTAGTTAAAATAAAAAAAATATTTTTGCAATATGTTGGTTGCATTATCATCTGCAGTAGATCCAATGAAATGCCTTAAGAGGTGATGAATAGTAATTACCAGGCAAAATGTTTCCACTTTTGTCCGTGCTACTTCTGTCTTTGTGATTGTTTGCGAAGAGTCTTGTATGGTGACGCTTTTGGACAACCACGAATGTTACAGGAGGCTGATAATTTGGTTCTAGAGATGCACATGCCTAAAAGAAAACATTTCGTCAGGCAACCTAATAAAGTGGACAAAATATCTGAGTAAAGAAAATACAAATGCATCTAACCTTGCGGATAGCATCCAACTCATAGAGGAGAACTTGGTAGAATTGGCCTTCACTGACACCATCCCTAGAAGAGAAGCAGTACCGATACTATTAGCAGATATACAAATAGAAGCCTATAACAGCAACTTTCATACTTCAAATAGCGAACAAAAACACTAGGTTCAGTACTTGTTGAAGATACATAGGATTAAATTGATTCCACAAATATCTAACTACTGTACTCTACAAACGTTAGTTTATAAACAGTATTTGCAGTAGCATACCTGTAGAAAATTATTCTCAATGGCTTTTGCCCAGTGGCCTTCCTGAAGGATATTAAGAGCTCCCTACACAACAAGACCAGAACCAAAAATAAGTTAATCGGTAGGAGGTAACCCTAAACTATTTAATAGGAGGCTTCATCAATTAATTTTGGTTGGAAGAACAAATTGTTCCTCAAAAAAGACCTGATCATGCCTCCTGTTACGGTGCCTCTTTGAGGATCATGCCATGTCTTGTAAAGATCTTGAATGAGCTCTTGCCGATGAGCCTGAGCACACACCAATCCAGCATACTTTGTAACTTCTGGCCAGTCTTGAGATGCAACAACCTGCATGCAGCTTATTAGAGAGGGTAAGAGGTTAAAAAAAAAATGATGGCCATGTAACCATAGAAATGCTCAGCCTTACAGCAGCAATGGATGGGCTAGAGTCCTCCCCGGTTTCAGGATGCGTGACATCTGCACCAAATATAATAGTTGGTATGTCACTGACCAAAGGAATCCTCCAACTTATTGCATCCAGCAGCACGGTGTTTCTTCCTCCCATCTGTATCACAACTCCGAAATGCAAGGCATTAGCAATGCTGCAAGTCTGCTTACTGCATTACACTACATTTGTGTAGACAAGCTAAGTATTAACTGCTTGGTTTATAAGTATTTGGTACCTTAACATTGATTTTAAGTGAGACATTTGCCAGGTACTGCTTGCTGATCTTGAAAACATGTTTGGTTAAGCAACATTGTGATATCAACCCCAAGTCAGTTTCACATATACGTTTTATATCACCTGCAAATATTAAGTTACATCTTAAGCATTTCACACAATATGAGGATTCCAAGGAAAAATTGCGATGCAATTACCAAACCGACACTCACCATATAAAGAACCATTGTTGTCAGGGAGGATGGCCAAAAGAAGCTCAAGCTCTTTTCCCTTGAGCTTGTTTAATGACATATTATACACATGCTTAAGCGCCTTCTCTACTTGATCTGGTCTAGCTGAGTATATTGGTATCACAGGCTCACTGTTGAATTCCTGCAAGAAGAGCAGAGATAAAACTGAAAAGATGCAGCCAACAAATAACATTATAAAAGCACCAATATTATGCAAAACCATTAGATGAAGTTAAGAGTTATATACCATGCCGGATATCTGACACATTTGTGCCAACTCCTGGCAGAATCCCCGAGCAGTAGTTTCTTGCACACTCCTTGAGAAATTTATACAAGCCCAATGATTCACCTTGCACCCATTTATCACTTTCTGCAAAAAAAAAATGCTTAATTAGTGGAAAACTAGCAGGATCAGGCCATCATCATGATATATAAAAGGACGTCTGTTGTATACAGCTGCGGAAAACGGGGAATCTAACCTTGTTCACCATGTTCCACTGACCAACTTGTGGCAAGCACTCCTTTTCCTTCCCAGTATCATGATATTTCAGCTGAAAGCCACAAAATTTCATACCCAAATTATTAGCTGAGAGCAGTTAGCCAACTACTGAGATTAACAAAGGCAAATCATACCCAAGGTGCAGGAAGGACCCGAGCTTCAACTGAGGTTAGCTTCTCACTAATGTTGATTCCAAATTCTTTTGCATAAGGGTCTTGCTCATATCCATTTTGTTGAACTGTCTGGAAAGAAATTTTTTTAGTCTTGAACCATTATAACAAGAGTGCTGATCAAGTGAAGAGAAACCCTAGTAGCACTTATTGGGTGGGTAGCTATTGAACATCAATTGCATGGAATGCTTGGACCACTTGGAAGTGGGTAATGAAAACAAAGACTTCAGCATAGAACAATTAACGTACATTAGCATGCGTATCTTCTAAATTCTAATGCACTGATTTGGTGTTTGGATTTATCATCCAATTTAGTAAGACAAAATACTTGAAACATTTACTCCTGACAAACATGTAATCCATATATTTCAAAATGTTATAATCCGATTAGGAGAAAAAACTAGACCTGTAGAATATCCATCTCCTGTTCTCTAGGCCTACGGCAAGTAACCTTGAGTAATGATGTGATCTGCTTTTCATTCAACCTCTTTGTATATCTCTGACCCTCAACAATCTTACAGGCCTGGTAAGAAATATCTCAAAATGATGATGTCTTTTACCAAGGTTGAATGTTACATAATTGACCAGCTAATGAAATTTGTGACTTGATGAGATTAATACCAACCTCCATTGGTAGATAGTTTGCCTTCTTTTGGTTTCCCACCTGAAGGCAGGGAAGATGGGGATGCTGAATGGTGAAGCCATACATTTCCTTGAAATACTCTACGACAGATTTCATGTTCATTTGGTCATCGATTGGGAAACTGTTAAAACAAACAAAATCAGTTCCATAGCTTAACACAATGCCTAGTAGCTAACGTATATGAAATATGGATATTGATAGTTAATTTGGTCTATTTGGTCTGCCATACTCAGATTTAGAAGCAAGAGGGAGTGCTTAACATGCATGCTTCTACTTTCGTGAAAGTTCGGTACAAGACATTTGACAATTGAAAGTACATGACGAGAAATGAATTACACTATAACATACATCAGTTCATGAGTTGGTTGTGTTGTCAGCCCTGAAATGCGATACTTCCGCCTCACATTTCCCCGGTGAGTGACTTCAACTTTCACGCCCCGCAAGGCTTTCTTGATCTGCATGGAATTGGCGAATTCCACAGGTAAATCAGATAATCATGCAAAGCATCACAATTAAGCCATCTATCAGTTAACCAAAAGCATCCAAACAACACATCTTACATCCCACTACAGTAACAAGGCTAGACTATTCCTTCCCCGCAAGCATAAATTTACCTTGATTCTGTTTGCATCCGACAATGGCCTCGATATGACATCCTTCCCTAGTATTTGGGCCACGAATTCGATCACTGGTAGCGGCTCGATGAACGCGGTAGATGACATATCTGGCATCAACATCATCCACCATGTAAGCAGCAAGCACATGACAACCAGGAAAGATACATGCATGAGGGCACCAAATATTCGCGAGCATCTCACCAATGTTAAGCGACAACCCCATCTGAGTCGGCCGGATGCTCTGGTAGAACCCACACCATGACTGTAGGCCATCGCCGAGCCGCTGCGGCTTCCTTATGTCCGGCGAGTAGAACGACCGCCCTATCGAGACATACCTACCATTGGGGCCAATCAGTATTAGTTTTTTTCCTTTCTTTTCCCTTGCAAGAACACAAGACGACGAGCAATGCGTGTGCGTACCTGCGGTTGGCAAGCTCACGGAGCACGATGTCGAGCACCTGGAGAGCCTCCTGCGGCGCGTCGGCCTGGCGCCCGGCGATGAACTGCCGGAGGTGGTGGAGGTCGGCGCGCGCGGCGAACTTGATGGCGACCCTGTACTCCCTCTCCCTGCGGAGCCAGAGACGCGATGACGGTTAAGACATGGCCGGAGAAGAATGGAGCGCCGGGCTGTGGGCAAATAATGCGCGCACCGTGGCGGGACGCCGGTGCCGTCGTCGTCGTCGGTGAGGCGGACGACGAACTCGCGCGCGTCGAACGGGAGCGTCCCGGCGGTATAGAGGTTCTTGCGGCCGTCGTAGGCCGGGAGGCGACCTCCGAGATCGGAGTCGTGGTAGAGGCGGACCAGCTCCGACATGATTGCCCGGTTCACGCTCCGGGAGCTCACCTCCGGCGTGATCTTCACCTGCAAAGTCCGCCGCCGCCGCGCCACGGAAACCAAGAAAACCGCTCTCACCTTTCTTCCATGCTCAAAGTACATATGGAGCAGAGAGAGAGAGAGAGACTTACGTCGTACTGGGTGAGATCCTTGTCGGGGAGCTCGGCGAGGAAGTGGTTCGCCTTCACGACGCACCGGGCGCCCACCGTCCCGAACCCCGGCCGCCGGCAGAACGACAGCCCCTTGCTCGCCACCGGCGGCCCAATGACGGCGCGCGCCGCGGGCGCCACCACCACGGCCGGCGCCGCCGCCAGCCCCGGCCCCGGCCCCGCACCCGCCCTGCCGCCGCGCCCGCGCCCGCCGCGCCGCCTCCCGCCACCGCCGCCGCACTTCTTCCCTCCCTCCGGCGGCGCGACCGCCGCCGTCGCCGCCGCCGTCTCCGCCTTGGGCTGCGCCATGCTACTCTGCAACGGCTGCTTCCTCGCCGCCGGCCCACCACCACCACCACCATGCCCATGCCCATGCCCATGCCCGCGCCCGCCGCCCGCCTTCCCAGCTGCCGGCTGGTGCCGGGGCGGCGCCATGTCCAGCACCTCGAGCATGTGCGCACCACCACCACCTCGCCGCCGACCTCGCCACCCGCTGGTCGAACACCTGCGCAACCGCGCCCTTATAATGTCACCACCGCGTGATCAAACACCAAACCAAACCAAGCCAAGAAAACGAGTGGTAGTAGTAACAAAAATCTTACAATTCTACCAAAATCTCTCCTCTTTTTTCTCTCGCATCCAACCAAGCCAAAGAATTAATGCGAGGCGGGACAGAAAGGCATTAGAACCCTTCGTCACTGATGCAACTACTGCAGCTGCTTTGACCCTGTTTGGTCCTAGTAGTAGTAGTGGCCGCCTCGCGCGGTAAATAAATAAATAGACCTCGCCTTGCCTGCCGGTGGTAAGATTGAACAGGGAAGAAGCAAAATATGCTCCGTTTTTTTTACCAAAGGTAGCAGGCGTCGTAGAAATGATTTCTTGTAGGTGGGGGGAGACGGTAGGTAAAACGTTGTGGCCCGTGGATTAATTGGGGCGCGAGAAACACGAGAGGGTAGTGCAGCTGAGGTTTCCAACGGATGGGGGTGGATTATCGAAGGGGATGGAAGGAAGGGAGAATGGATGGGGATTTTTATTGAGAAGTGTATCACATGTTCGTGTGGCTGGCCGCTAGCGCGTGGTGTTATGTTACCATGGGAGTACTAGTACTAGTAGTACTTGTAAATATCATTGAGAGGCAGATTGTGTGTATAATAATGGAACTTTTGACATTACAAAACTTTGTTCAATGCTGACAGGCACTTAAGTCTGATTCAACTGCGTATTGCTGGCATGACGGACATCCTACCAAGCGCTATTTTTGGAGGATTTTTATTTTTTTTTTATTTTTGGTGTTGTGCAGGAACATGCATCCAAAGTGTGATCAAAGTTTAGTTTAAGCCTCATGCAGCATGGCCCAAGCACTAGAGAAATCGAAACGCAACATCCTTTGGCCTTGAACGCCACTACTCCCACTACCACCACTGCTACACCACCAGCGACGCAGCAAGAAATGTCCCAAAGCCGAGAGAACCTGCCCTGCCCTGCCCCTCGGTGCCCGTGCGGTACAACTTTGGAAGCGTGCGTGCCCCCGACAAGAAGGCGCTCCACCATTGCAGAATAGAAGAACACAACACACACACCCCCTCGTTCCCTCATGGCCCAAACCCATTTTTTACTCGTGCGCGCACGGGCAAAAGCAGCAGCAGCACCGATCTTAGTTTTAGGTAGGGGTGTAATTGGTCGGCCACGAATCCAAACAGGTTAAGTAGGTTTTACGGGTTAACGACTTACACCAGTTCTAGGCTACTAGCCGTCCACTACCAGTGCGTGCGTACAATACAAAACCTACCAAGAAAAAACGCCGCCAACCACGGCGCACGGCCCGATGGATGGATGGATGGGGTGGTGGGCGGTGCGTGGCGCTACTCGCGTGGCGTGGCGTCGAGGGACAAAGCGGAGCATTCGCGTGGCGCGGTCAGAGGCAACACGGCGCTTGGGGAGGGGAACAAGCAGAGCAAGCAGCAGCCGCTGCGCCCGCTGCTGCATGCGCCACCTGCCACACGCGGGCCACCCTTACGGCTACGGACGGGGGACCATCCATCCAACCCGATCAGCCCGTGCATGGCACCACCACCACGCGCACCCAACCCCGGGCCTCGTCTCGCCCTTCGCCGCGCGGCGCCGCGTTCTCCGTCGTCGCTGCATCGCAAGCCTGCAAAAAGTGCGAAGAAATACTCATACGTTTATGAGAGCATGTGGCGTTAATGCCGCTGCTGTGCCGCGTGCTGCGGTGCGGCACTGTGCGCGTGCTCGGGTTGTACGTACGCACACACAAGCTGTGACTGTGAGCCGCTGCTGCTGTTGTGCTGCGGCATGCGCCGGTGCAGGTCGCAGCTAGCGGCAGCAGGAGGCAGGGGAGTCGGGTCGGGGGGTCAGGCAGTGCCAACCCACTACCTGCCGGCTGCCACGGGCACGGCATTGGCAGGTCGGTCTAGGACTCCTCTTTTGCGTGCTCAAAAGGCGCCATCATCACACCACAACACGGCTGGGTCCCTCTCCCCCTCTCTTTTCTTCGGACGGATCAGATCGTCTCATCTGCCCTAAAGATTGACTGCTTGCAAGTAGTAATGGCAAACATGGCATTAGCTCATTGCACTTAGTACTCCAGTAAGTACACTACTGTTAGGGGGCTCGTACGGAATCGTCCCGGAAATTAGGTACAGTGCTCAGCGATTTGTTGATTTTTTTTTCTCCCCAGGTTGCTGAATTTCCGATTAGATGATGAAGACATCACCTGCAATCTCGCTGGCACGATACATGAGCATTGATGGATGACCACGACCGGCGTGAAAATGGATGGATCGATCCACCTCCGCCATGACGAGAGCGAGAGCTCACCGTAACAAATCGTGACTCCATACGCTGCTCCGTGGATTCAGGACGGCATTCACCACTCCCGTTCTCTCAACCATATCCCCGTCCCCATCTTCTACCTACGTACGCAGGTACCCTCGCTTAAGATCACACCCACAAATGGTTCTACGAACCAGACGTAAGAAATTTCTAGCGTACAGCACAATACGCTAAATGATCGTACTCCCTCGATATATAAATATAAGAGATTATATTATTTTAATTTATTATAAACATAAGATATCTGTAATCCCAAGGCATAGTATTCTATTAGTTTATTTTACACTTATCGACTTTTGTATTGTTTATTTCTCCCCTACTACTTCTAGTTTATTGTCAAATATATTAAATAATACTCACTATGATTTATCGTTTTGCTACTTCCTTAATATTATAAAAGTATTTTAGAATCGTTTATAATTGTAAACGGAAATCTAGATATCATCACACGCTAGCTAGTAGTACTGTTTTTATAGTTTATTACTCCCTTCAACCACAAAAGTTAAATATATTTCACATTTGAGTTTTTCCCAAATAAGTTATTTCTATCTGCAGTCTTTATGCATTCAAGACTTAAATAAGGAGACAAATTAAATATTTGATTAGAACCCAAGGAGGCATCTAAACACTCATTGGTTACATGCTTGCATTCACTCTATGATTTTGTAACATCCAAGATGATTTAAATTTTCCTTGGTCTTGGTGACAAAAATAATATAAATAATATGTGTAACTTTTATGGATGTAGGGGGTATATTTTTCTTTGTTTAATGAGCTAAGTTAGTATTCCCTCCGGATTGATAATACTTGTCGTTTTGGACAAGGATACGATCTCCAAAAAATAATTTTGACCATTATTTTTCATTATAACATGTATAAAAGTATTAACAAATATATGATCTTATTAAATTATTTTTTAAGACTAATCTATACATGTAATCATCATATTTGAAGGACAAATATTTTAAAAAGATTCATAATCAAAGATTCTAAAGTTTGACTTTACCCTTATATAAAAGGGCAAGTATTATTAGACCGAAGAGAGTAGCGTGTAAGCAACTTTAGTTAAAAATAAATATTTTTACTTTAAAAGTTTTTAAAAATTAGATCAATGGAGACAATTTTGAACCGAGAGCCACCCAGTCTGCTCAACGAGTTTTTTTCCTTCCCCCCACACAGTGCGTGTTTCCCCCCGTACGTACGCGCACCGTGTAGCTGGCCGGCTGGCTGACCGGCCGCCGCTGGCTGCAGCCGTTTTTTCTTTTATTTTGGGGGTCAGAAAAGCCGTGGCGCGCGGCAAAAGGCCAAGCCGGTGCGACGAGCTCGCGCATGATCGCATGCGAGCGCCGGCGTGGCGTGCGCGACGCGACGCGCGCGCGACGCAGGGACCACGGCCGCGTCGCGCCGAGACGTACGGCGAGCAACCGTAATCGAGTGGACTAGCGCTGCGTGCCATCGATGGCTCTCGTTGCCTGGTACACTAGTACTAGTACTCGTACGTACTCTAGCCTGATCGCAGGACGAAAAAAAAAGGGAAAAGGTGACACGAAAAAGAGATCATTTGGGGCTAATTCGGGGGGGTCTTGGTTTGATGGCTGGCACTGGCAGAGGTTGCACTCGAAGGAGGAGTTGACCCCGGTGGACTACTGGCCTACTACTGGGCTGTGTGTGGCCTTGTGGGTGGAGGAGATACGAGGCCATTATTGACGGCGCAGCCGAGCACGCGCGGCTGCTGCGACTGAGTGCAATCATGGCGGCGTTGAAGCTGGAAAGGACGTAACATGGGTACGTGACGCCGCTACCTGACCAGACAAGATTCGGTGCGAATCGCATCGCATGCACAAAGGCCACCCACAAGATTAAAAAAAAAACTCCTTCCCCTACTAATCTCAGTTTTCCCATTTTTTTTCTTCAGGGAGGTGAAAAATATAGTACATACGAGACAATCAAACACAACAGCCGTGTCACGTGTCGAACCGAACGCAAACACACACGGATATGATCCCCGTCGTCGCACGACTTTTAGCCGAAGTGGCAGCGAGGGACAGCGACGCGACGTGCAAACGGGTGCGTGTGTGCACCCAAAAAGACCAGAAAGACGTCGTCGTCGTCGTCCGGCGCTATCTATCGAGCACGGGAAAGGCAACCAAACAACTCGATCCCACGCCGAGGGCCCGACCCGACCGTTCTCGCGAGCATGCACGCATGCGCGCGCGTGCACGGTGGAATTGGTGGGCGTGGCTAGCTAGCTCGGCTGCCGGGCTCGCGCGCGCGCGCGCGGCTGGTTGGTTGGTTTGGTCCCGCGCGAGAGCGGCGGATGGTCCAGCACGAGCACGCCCCGGTCTTTCTGCCCCTCTTTTTTGGAGCAAAGGCGAGATTAGTCCTATAGTAACTTTTCTAGCATTTCACCACCGTTCTTAAACTATAAGCCAGCTATAAACACAGTGAAGAAAGAGAGATAAGCAATAGGCTATAGTACGGATTACAAGACACAATATGTGTATAACAGGTAGAAATAGTATATATTTATAGATAACTATTATATGAATTGACTATTGACTATTAAATTAACTGTAAATGATGAAGAAGTTACTATTATAGCTATGCTACCGCTGGTGGTAGTCTTCCATCTACTATTATGATCTCTCGTCGTCGTCGTCGTCACGGCGAACCCGACTCGCGTGACGCTGCAGGCGGATGATGGCACGATCGACGGACGGGAGACATGCAGGATGGCAGTGGTAGCCTGGCTGGAGTAGACCATAGTAGGATACTAGCTTGCTTTTACCCTCGTTGCTGGGGGAAAAGGGAAGAAATGCTCTGCAAAAGGGGGAGGAGGATGAGGGGCTTTTGGTGCTGCGGACCCATGATGCAACGACGGGGTTTTTTAACCGTTGGCTGATGCATGGATGGACAAAAGCAAAAAAATCAAAGAGAGGAGTTGCGTGCTTTTCTTTTTTCAGAATTCTCCTTTGTTCCCCTTTTTCATATATAGATGCTGTTGGAATCTTTCGTAGTCTGTTAGTACCATTACCTACAAGTACGTTCATCTCCTAGTATTATCAATACAAAGTTACTCCTACTAGTAGTCTAGTACTACTCCAACAGCACAAAGTTTGTAAAATAAAGATACAAAGGCCTTGTTTAGTCCAAAATTTTTTTTCAAACTTTCAATTTTTTAACCACATCAAAACTTTCGTACATA